CTGTTCCTGACTGATGGACTATCAAAGTACTTTTATGCTATATTTTTCCTAATGAGTACCTAATTACTCTCTTCAGGTCCCAAAGATCCCAAGTTTCCCCTGGTATACCCTTGCTGTGTCTTCATATTAGACTGCAGATTTCTTTTTCGCTCCAGTGCAAGCCAGCGTTCTTTAGTACTTGTAGAGGAAAAACAGTATTGAAGATCTGACTTCCTTAAGTAGATCCCCTGTTTGGTATCAAGTGTCTGGGAGTCAGGGAACAGTTATTTCTTTTTGTGTGTGTTCTTGGGGTTTTGTTTGGGCTTTTTTGCCTAGCCCGTTAGTAAGAAAAATGTACTGTATGAAAGTATGAGGAGAACTAATCAGAAAAACAATGAGCTGATGTGTCCTGGAAAGCATTATGTTTTTTATATATAGAACTTAAAATGCAAAAAGTACAAGTAACTCTTGTGAAGCCTTTATTTCCCCTTTCAAAACAAAGTTTGTAGATACAACACTAAACACGAGGTAATAGCTGTATAACTGATTGTTTAGGGGATGGAGAAGGTGGTCAGTGAACTTGGTACCAATATACTGGCCACTGTATTCTTCGTTGAAACAAGCTTAATTCTTTGCAATGAGCTCTATGAAGGTGTGAGACTTGTGAACTGGACTCCCCCCTCAGCTAAAATACCAGCATTTCAGTCATTCATAGATCTGAAGTCTCCTGTTCTGGGTTGTTCCATGTGTATTATCACAAAGCCTAGGCTAAACTAGTATCATACTTTTTCTTTGGGTTTCTTTGCCTCTTTTGAAGGTCCATAGCAAACTTCACTTCGTGACTAGCATGGGGCACTGATATCATGTAACCTTATGCATGTGTTTCTGTCCTGTTATCTGATATCTTGAATCTCATGGGTTGGTGTTGAAGGGAGGTTAACGAACCAAAGGTGGACCTGTGCCCATCTGTAGAACCAGTTGAAATCAACACTCGTTATGGGTTGATGTCTCTTTGCTGTATCTTCAAAACCTAATTGCTCAATCTTATCTCTCACAAAAGAGATTTCTGCCAGACAGATAACTTAAATTGCAGTTTTGCAGCTCTTTATTCAGCTGTGGTTATCAGTTTGCATTGAAAATGAATATACCAGTCCACTGAAAATGTCTTTTGAATTGTTTTTTCTTGTGTGGGCAAGATGAAGACAAATGAATTACAATGTGTAAATAAATAAATTAGTGTATGCTCTTTGTTTTACAGAGAAATCAGAGTAGCCTATTGCAATTGATAACTAGAAAATGGAAAGAAAAACATATTACAACTTTTAAATGAAGACAGGGTAATTCAGGAGTTTCCTTCAGAGAAAATGCCTTGGGAAACTGTTTAGTAAGATAGGCAGTTTGCAGTCTAGGCCTATTTTTTTGTTGTTAATTTGACAGAGATGTGAAATTAGAATAATCCATCTCTTAAAAGCCCTGGGTGTAGACGTGAGAGGAGTATATGTAAGCCTTCATATTTATACCTTTGCTTGTTCCACTGAAGTGGTTACCTCTAGCCAAACTTGGTTTTTCCAGGTTTCTGGCTGAATTTTTCAAAGTGCTTCAGATAAGCAAATACAGAGTTATATCCATCAATATCTATTTAACTTTTTTTTAATTCTTGATGCAGATTTGTTACTCTTATCTATAGAAGCTATCGTGGATTTGACAACACTGAAGTTATTTGACTTTCTTTCAAAAAAAAAAAAAAAGCAGACTATTCAGTAGAATTTGTTGCTCACCAACATTAAGTCAAACATTTACAGAAACATATCAAACCAGTGCGATTATGGTAGAAGGTGTATATGGGCAGTAAAAGACGAAATAAATATCTAGGACAAATTTGTTTTCTGTCTTGAATATCCTGATAACACTTCATCCTAGAGAAGGCAGTGTTTTGGAAAACAGATGATACCTCAGCCACTCTACTGTGCTATCCAACTGTACATCAAAAGGACATATGAGAGTATTTTTGGATCTGCAAAGAATGGTTAAAATGCACCGATTCTTCCCTCCCAAATGGATAACACTAACTTAGTGAACACAGTAGAGAGACTTTTGGAAATGTAGCGAAGATACCAGGAGTTTCTGGCTCTCAGTTCTTACCTATCTTATTCTGCATTATCTGCAGGCTCAGAAGTTGTGTGTGGCAAGAGATTTCCCTTGATCTGTCTTCTCTGGCCACACAGAACAGAATGGTTTCTTTTTTCTTTTCTTACCTGCAAAAACTTTTTTTTTCCAGTGTTGTCTTTTCAGAGCAATTATGGGGAAACTGACATTTTAGGTCTTTAAAGTCTAGGAAGGGAGGGGGAGGAGTGGAGTTGCTTTGTTTTGAGAAAGTGAATTTTGCTCTTAAATAGCCTAGGGCAGCAGTTTTCAAAGGAAGGCAAAATAGTTATACCTCTTTGCCACCATTGGTTATTAAGGACTTGGAAAGCCAGGCTGACCTGCTGCCAAAGTGGGCTTACAGGAATGCGTCAGGGCTTGCATCTCGCAGAGGCAGTGAAGGCAGGGAGCCTGGCCTTCTAGGCATGTCTGCTGACTTTCCATCCCACATTTGCCTACTTGGTGATGGCCTGGTTGTCTTTGATCCTTGCTCAATTCTATATACCCTCTTTGGTACCTTCAGTGTTAAAATTAACTTTTTCATCAGGAGAGGTTTCAGTTATATGATCTAATTTTAGTTGTTACAGCCTGGTGACATATGCATAATGTATTGTGCTGTCTCTAAGGAAACCTTAGGGTTTTTCTGGTATGGATTTTGAAAAGTTAGGATCTGACAGTGTGCACACACTGAACTGTTACTGTTGGAATGAGTTCTTTGAAAAGGGTGAAAAATAAAAGGTTTTACCTTTTTGGAAAGATCCAGTTATTCTACTGTTTGCTAATGTGTATTGGTATAATTCCCTGCCTAGGGAATTTTTTTGCCTTTGTTTTAAAATGTGAAGGCCTTCTTAAAAACCTGTTGTAACTTAAACTGTCTCCCAATATAGGTGCTTGTAAGTAAGCTTGGCAAGCCTGGATGGCTGGAGTTGGTAGTGGGTTAGGTCTGAGATTTCAAGCGGATGAAAGACACCAGGGTGGGCTTTGCCTCCAGGCTACAATTAAGACAAAACCTGTTGGTAAGATTCCTCCTATAAAGGTTGTTGACTGCTTCCTTCTGTTTCTCCTCATTTTTCAGCTGGTGACTGTAGTAAATAAGTCTGACATGGCTTGTTTCTTATCCTAGATTCCAGATCTTTTGTGGCAAATCTTGTATATCTTATTGGCCCCTGGAGTCTGACAAGCTAAAGAGCTTTTTTTGGACAGTTGCACAGAAAGTACGTGCATATTTCTCCAATCCTTTTGTGGCTGCCACAAAACAATGGGAAACAAGGAGTGCGGATGTTAACTGTGTGAGGATCTTGTTTCTGCAGTTGGGTCTGTAAGAACCAGATACTGACTGGAGCTTCCTTAACGTCAATCTCCTGGTCAAATGTTATGCATGACTGAGTTTTTGTAACGGGCAATTGCAAGGTCTGTGTGAAGATATGAAGTCATTCAGTGAAGTCATTCACTTTAATCAGAACTTGGTGCTCGATATAATTTCCTTTATCTCCAAGACAAAACTGTATTATTGACAAAATAGTGGTCCTTGTGCTTTTAATATAGAATAAGGTTTAAAAAACACTAGATAACAATTTTGATTGTGTGTAATATAAAATGTTAAGTTTCATTAGAAAATCAAAACCCTTAATTTTTATCATCTTTGGTATTGAAAGATGTGCTTAGGTTACAGCTGAAGGCTTGTTATTGAATTTTCAGTTTCAAACAGATATTGTGGCTAAGGGCATGGGAGACTCATTGGTTAGATATGATACAAAGGATGCTGGAATGTTTTCTTGATGCATCTTGGCCCAGACATCCTTTCCCCCCTGCCCCCAACAAGATTTAAAAAAAAGGGAGGGGGAAGTCCTTATTGGCCCTTATTGGGTGGTAACATATCTTAGAAAAAACTGAGTTATAGTTAAAACATTTAGATATTTTAACGTTCTTCCTCTTGAAGTAGTGGAGGTAATGGAATTTTAAATCACCATGAGAGAATCAATTTGTATGTTGAATATGTCTCTAGAAATGTTAATCACTGTAGACATTATATTATTGTATTTTCTAACAGGAGGCAAGAATAACCAGTGTTAATCTTTAAAAGCAATCTAATTTTTTCTTCATTGGTGTAAATGTCAGATCCATTTGTAAATACATATAATAGCTTGTGAATTGTACCAATTCTCTGTCTAGGTTAACAGTTCAACTTTCTCCTGATTCTTAGATCCAGATTTGTATTGTATGCCATGGTCAAACCCATGACACTAGTAAATAGCAGAGTGCTTTATGTGTTAGTCTTATATTCTGAAATCACTGGAGATAGCATCCTATTTTTCTCAACAAGAAAGCACTTAAGTTAATTGCTCCATTAGAGAGATACAGTAGCTCTTTCTGATTTGTAAGCAGCCTTCCATGCATAGCTGCTGAAGCTGGAAACACCTGCAGCCAAAGCAATTCGGAAAAAAGCCATTACTCTGCATGAAGAAAAATAAAATGCATGAGTTCAAAATATCAATGATGCTGTGTTGGAGCAGCCCTAAAAGATTTGGCTTTTGGTCTATGCCTAGTGCTATCCAAAACAACATACAAAATTCTTTGTAAACTATTTTTAAAAGTGTCTTGTTTATTCAGAAGCAACTGTGTACAGTATTTGTTCAGAGAGCAGGCTCCAGTCAATTGCAAACCAGCCAACAGCTGATTTCTCCTTAGAAAGAAACATTGCCTAATATAGATCATAGAAGCCAAACACCAAAGGGACAAAGTGCTAAAGATAAAGAACTCAATCCTCAACTGTTCAAAGTCCTCAATAAAGCCTCTGATTTACAAATTTGGGGTGGGACTCAACTGTTACCACCTGCAAGCTTGTCTCAGATCCTTGGCTCAAACATGGTGAGGTGCTGATGTGTAGGGTGATCTTCTATGCCCTTAATGAGATCTTCTGTGCTCTTAATGAGAAAAATACTGGCTTTCCTATGTCTCTAATCAGTCAATTTCTCTGAAGCTGTTCTTTATAGTAATCAAGAGGAAAAAATACTGGCTACTCCCACTTTATTGAGATGGTGAATGCAAAGAGACTACAAAGTGTTACTGAATCTTGAAAGGCACTCCAAGGTACTCCTCTGTTCTAATTGACTCATAGATGCTTATTATACTGCTGTAATGAGGGTCTGATTTCTGTAATTTAACTTGATTTAACTGTAAAAATAGGCTGTTTTTTATTCAATGAAATTTGATTACTTCAGTAGCTACTGGACTGCTGAATGGTGTGATTGCCAAAGTTTAGGTGACTGTTTTAAGCATTTAGAGCACTATTTGTTCTTAGCTGTGTCCTTTCCTTTCCACTCAAAGATCTGAAACTAGAGTTTTAGAGTTTCAGCTCTTTCTCATCCTTCTTCATGCTTTTGGCTCTTTCATGAAGTGAAACTGCTACTTGATGTTGGCAGCGGGGAAGATGTTAGTTAAAACCTTAAAAAGCAGTAACAGCTTCTACAAGCTCATGTGACCAGTCCTACGAGCGTTCAGGTCCCAAGTTGGCAAGGATTGTTCAGACCCCTTTGTCCAGGTACTTAAAACGGTTGTGACTGCCCTGTTATGTGTTCGTGCTTCTGTTTTAGGTGTAGTAATCATAGATTATATGAGACACTAGCCAGAACAGAGGAATATTTTGGCATTCCTTTATTCACCAGTCGTAGTTCTAGTGGGACTACTTTTTGAATGTGTAAAGCTAAATTCTTAAGAGAAGCATATGTAGGAGTGTTTCCTGGCATTTTGTGTGTTTGGTGGTCATGACAAGGAAAATTTTATTGAATAATTTAACTTTTAAAGTGTATTCAGATACTGAATTGAAAGGTACACAAACTTTCTCATCTATAATCCTATCTGTAGTGTTTGGGAGGCAATATGGCAACAGTAACAATGGGAGACTTAACTTGTTGGAGGCCCGATGCTGCCTCAAAAAGTCTCCTTTTTGTGCATATGTAGCACCTTTTCTTGTGGAGTTGACAAAAAACAAAAGTAGATTCAATCAGACAGAAGTTTTTAGAGTATTATCTGACTTTTGCATTCTTGGAGAAAAAACACGTTTGCAGCCACAATGAAATATTTATAGCTTTGAGTATTGATTTCAGGTCAGGGGCTGGCAAATCCCCTGGCAAATCTCTCAGTCTCTCAGACTTTGGCGATACACTTTATTATTATTTTTTGTCTTTTCCCCCCATTGGTGAAAGCTCCGGGACAGAAACTCCAACAGGAACGTAATCACTGTTTACAAATAAGTATGCTTGGCATATTGAAAGCTGATGGGTGAGGACAGAGTATAGTAAGAATGCAGGTGAATTGAAATGTGTTAATTAGAAAGGGGGTGTCTTTATTTTTTGCAGTGTAGTGTGGTATATACCTTAAGATGTTGGGCAAAATGACTGGTGAATCCTGCAAATATGTAGCTAACTTCTGGGATTCAAGGAAGATGAGACTTCCTCTCCCTGAAATTCTTTTTCAGTAATGTACTACTGTACATATGTTAAGTTTTGCCTTCTAGAACGGATGAGATGCATACATTCATCTGATAGTAAGGGAGTAAGCAAGATCTTTGGAGATCCTTCTTGCATTTTTTTCTTTTGTTCATGATAACTATTAGTTGCTAAATAGCTAACTCCTTTCCTACAGTTTGCTGTATTCATGCTTTACCTATTTGTGGTGTATCAATAAACTTAATTCATTCTCTCTTCGCTAATGTGCAAATTTAACTTAAAAGCTGCATCTCTCCACTAGTGCAACATATAATAACAAAGGCCTGCAACTAGTTAGATCTTATTAGGACTTGAAAAGCTTTCTTTTAAATAATATATTGCAGTACATCAGCTAATGTGCTAGGAAGTACAGCATTGTATATAATTGAGAACAAGCTCTCAAATTAAGCAAGGAAATAGTACTTTGTAATTTGTCCTTGATATCTTTAAATTAGTGAATCTCTATTCTGGGAGCAGGGCTTTGGGAATGAAATTCTCATTTCAGGCGGTTCATGGCAATATTTATGCCTTAAGCCAAGAATTGGCATCCTCGTTGCTGTGTATCAGACAGTGAGGGCCTGAGAGCAGTGGGTGTTTTGAGAGGGCTCAGCTGAAGCCGGGAACTTCTATTTTCCGCAGCAATTCTGGCTCTTGATGTATATCCACTGGCATGTTTGGCCTGTGAGTTAGGAAGCAGAGGTATGCTCCTCAAAGGGCACGAAGGTAGTGCTCTTCTGCACGACGTGTTCTGCTTCCCTCAGTTTCTGAGGTTTAGATGTTGCCCTCCATTGCAACACTGCATTAAATCCTCTCTGTGGAAGAGATGTATTACTGGGAGTTTTACGAAGCAGTGTTTTCTTATATAAATATTCATATAAAAAAGCAGTAAGGGACAATATTTCTTTGCTTGCAGTAATTTTTGTATATGTGGTGTAGGACAGATTAATGTTTATGAATCTGTTATGCTCATCTTGGAGAGGAGCAATAGCTGTTACATACAGTCAAGGAAACCCTTGAGCTTTTGCTGATGAATTGAAACCATTGAGCGCATAGAGATTTCAACAAAGACTGAGGCCTGCTTTGTGAGGCAGTTTCTAAACATGTAGTAATAGATAATACTAGTCTTGGAAGGTCAGTGAGCAAAATGGAGAAGGTAAAGGCTGGCAGCAAAAGATACTACTTTCATTTTATACTAGCTTATAAAATTAAATTGCTTGTTCAAAGATGCACAATAAAAATGCTGCAGAACTTAGTGACTGCATTTTGTGTTCTGTCAATGAAATAACTGTTCTTCTGCACTGTATACTCCATAGTGTTTGGATTTTCTGATCTGTGACTAAATAGTAAAATAAATCCTATGGAAGCTTTCTCAGTTCTGCTATTGTGCTCCTTCCTTACTCTTAACAGTAGGTAGCCTTTGTCTCTGTTGTTTTATCCATTAATATCTAAAGATAATCTCCATTTTTTTTTTAGCTGTCACACTCCACTAGTGTGAAATACTACTATGTGAAGGCAGATGCACGAGGAGCAAATGAGGAGGACATCCCAGGAATTCAATTTCAGGCTTTTAAATTCAGACCTTGTTAGCGCATCTTTAAAATATTTTCTCTGTTTAGAGAGGCCCAGAAATATACTCTCTAAATCACTTTTTCTGCCTGTGAGCTGATGCTTCATGCTGGTGATCTCCATATAAATAGAGAACCCAAATCTCTAACCTAGCTTTTTGTTATATGAGTGCTCTGCACTAAAAAGAAAGCCTCTGAGGCAGGTGGCTTTTACTCGCCACTGGTTTGCTTAGTGAGAAGAACTGAGTGCAATGAAAAAATGCTAGCTCACTCTCACTCTGTGTGTGTATGTTTGTGTGTGTGTGTGTATATATATATATATGTGTGCATCAGTACTTTACATACTATCTCTCTGGGTTGCATGCAACTATTTACTGCCTTTAAGTAAAAAAGAATAATTAAAGTCTTCTTGAAAACAGTGTATTTCAGAGAGGGACGTCTATCAGAATACTTTATAAGAGGTTTTGTATTGTTGCAGAACAAGCAAAAAAACAAAAGGGAGTCTGGCAGGCAAAATAAAGCACATGGCTGTATGCTTAAGCACGTTACACCCATTGACTTGTGTTTCCTGTCATGTGCTCCTTGTTGACTCCATCCGGGCAGGTTTTGCACTACAAATCTTTTAAATGGCTTTCATTCCATAAACAGTAATTTCAGTGACCTAGCTCCAGGCCTCCATGCTCCAAATGTTTCATTCTTCTGTTCTTCCTTGCAGTTCTGTTCTTGCTGTGCAGTTATACTGTAAATTTTCAGAAATGACTAGTTGATTGGCTATGGAAATAGGAAACTTTTTGAACTTAAATTATTTTGGTTATTCTTAACTTCTTGGTTTCTTGTATTCTTTCAGTGAATTGACCTGCAGATTATGACATTTTCAATAGTATGACCAGCAGTAGTTTATGAATTAAAAATAGTGATGTTATCCTTGTTATTTCTATTGGTTTGAATTTATGATGCCTCGCTTTGTGTATGTGGCTTATCTCCTCTTTTCTTACCATAGTTTCCGTGTCCTAAACTTTTTTGGAAAAACGTTTAGACAGATAAATGTTATAGTGCTTACATATATATATTTGAGCTTTATGCTGAAAAAGAAAGTTAGCTCTTTGTATAATTGATGAGGAAAATTTAATGCATATTCAGGAGTGCTGGAAGAAGCTAGTTACATGTTTTAACCAGATCATGGAAGTCAGCAGGCACGTGACGTGATGTTCCTTTTACTGTTTAGAGATGCTATTTGTTAGGCCAAATATATATGTAATGGGGTTTAATTAGCTATTAGGTATGATTAACCTCTCGTTGCATTTACCTAACTAGAGTTTAAAATTGATTAAAAGTTAGCGTTATTGACAATGCAGTTTTATAGCTGTTAATGGAACTTTACGCTTGAATAATTAGTCTCAAGTTAATGTATTTTGCTACTTTGGAATCCCGTACACTTTTCCAGACAAGGGAGAGGCATTTTCACATGTTATTAGATGCATTAGATATCTGAGCAAAGGTTGGACGCAGTGCAAGCAGCTGGAGTTAAAACTGCTCTTCCTGACCTGAAGAGGGCAACTTTTTGGGAGGCCAAAGGTAGTCAAATCTGTACATAGATTTGGCTCTCCTGTTCAGTGAGCAAAGAGCTTCTCGCTACTACTGTGTTTGATGAAGAACAGAGACCCCTCAGGTTCTGAACTGAAGCTAACCAGGATGGCATTGCTATGCTTTAAAAGGAAAGCTTGACAGTGTTTAGCACCTACATCTGCCCAAGCATCTGTGTGCTCAGTGTGTGTTGCTTCTTCCTCAGGCAGAGCGATCACTTGAACCTTCTTGGACCACTAGCATCTGTGATATGGATCTATGCAAATCTTGGGTTTCGTTGTGCTAATGCACATATGTATCATGGCAAGACCAGTAAGGTCTGACTCTGCTGTCTTTAGGGGGATTCTTATGGCCTTTCTGAAAGACTATCTAGGGGAAATTACTGGAGAACTTAAAATATCAGACAACTGAGGAATAATGCAGAAATCTTATAGAATTTTAACAATTTAACTTTCTTATAACAAGTCCTACTTTATAACTATTATGAGGGGAAGGCAGTTTTTCATTGGCAATAGCCAAAAGTCTAGAATATGCTTGAATACTTACTGTTATCAGTGTGATACATTTAGTGTGTATGTGTGCCTTGTCTTCAATAGGGGGACTGGGGGGGGGGGGGGGGGGCAAAACAGCTGAGCACCCCAAGCCAAACCCTTTAAATGCAGGACAGCATGAAGTATGCTTTATGAAAATACTATATGTTAACTTCAGAATTGGCTAATTCTTCATTGTTCTATGGAGCAGATTGCCAAATGCAGTTATAATGATCTTGGGAACCATAGGAGTCATTATTTTGAGGCTAGACTGTATATAACCATATGATTCTTTAAAAAAAATTCTTATGTCAAGTGCAGATTGCCAGGTTGCTTTGATATTGAGCTGTAAAATCCACTGTAGTATCATAAATTTAGTTCTCTGCAACTGCAGCCTCCAGTTTCCAATAAGTTCTGTTGCCGGCATCCACTGCAATCTCTGTTTTGCAGCTGAACTTAGCAGCATGCTTTCAAGTGGCAGTCATCCAGCTGCACACTGCCTGTTTCAAATTGTATTCTATATGCTGTGTGTTGGGTGATAGCGAATGGTGAGCTACAAAATGAACATGGGAACTGCTTGTGTATACTAACTTTGCATTCCCCAGTCTCCTGACATTTACTTTCTTATTTTGGGAATATACAAATATATTTGGTTCTTGGCATTGTTCCTTAAACCTTAATTGTTTTATTCCAGTTTTCTGTTTGGAAATGCTGTCTATTCTCTGATTTAAAAAAAAAAAAAGAACAAACTGAATTTGTGGAAGGGAAAAAAAATACAATTCTAAATGTATAAGCAAGTGTGCTTATACTTGTACCAATGTTCTTTATTTAAAATTAGTTGCATAAACTGATGGTTTATTTTCAGAGATGCTTAGCAGTTTTAAGTGGCTAATGTTAAGGACCGAGGTGTGGCAGACCTTTATTTCAGTGTATGTTTGAATTGAGCAATTTAAGGTATGTCCTGCAGGCTCATCGGTATCTAGAAGGTGATGAGATTTAGGTTAATTGAGCTGGAAGCTGATGATTTTGCTAGTGGGTTATAAAAAAAGCTTGAGGCAAAAAGTATTTAGCTGATGAGATGCCAAGCTGAGCCTTACTTTCTTGCAGGCTTTTGTAGTCCTGTTCTGAGAAGACTACATAGGCTTTTGTAATCCTCATCCTCTGAAAAGAGGATAGCTGAAGGATCAAGTCAAATGTCTGTTTAGGCTACTGCTAGAAACAGGTTACTGAACTGTGGCTCAGAATTGTAAAGAACATGGTGCAAGTTCAGAAAGACTGATCCTAACTGTATATTCAGTTTCATTAGTAGGGAGCCATATTTAATTTTTTCCCCTATTTTCTGTTCCAGTCTTCTGCTTCTTGCTTGTTGTGCTCCAAATCCAGGTTTTTCATCAATGATACAGAATCTAATCCAAAGCAAATATAGAGCTAGAACTAACTTTACTTCTGAATTACTGAAGTAGTAGATTGAATTCCAAAATTCAGTTGGTTTGGGAAAATCTCTGTGGGTGTAAAACAGGAATATCTGCTGCTGCTGGCTCTCAATGAGCAATAGTCCATGGAGGAAGACCGAGAGGAGGCAAGCCTCCACCATCTGAGCAAAAGGGAGGACTGGGATTACAAGACCCTTAGAAAATCTATCTGAATGGATGAGGCAGAGAGGAGAATATTATTCTTTTATGTGTTGTGAAGTTAGGTGACTCTCCAGCTTTATGACAGAAGATTGCTCCTTCCTCAGCCTTTTACCAGTTGCATCTCAGCGTTACACTTGTTAGGCTATTGGGTGATCATGCTGATTCACTTGACTGTTTTAACTGCGGTTATATTTTGCTTTAGATCAATACTAAGGCTTACTCTTTCATATTGATATCACGTGCTTTCTTGTGTACATTAGAATGTTTTAAGATGGAGATTTGCCTCTGTCTCCAATGTAAGGCGTAAGTTTTGTCAAATGTTGGCTCAGTAAAAAGTTTCTCTTGTCATTCCCCTTGATTTTCTTCTGTAAAGAAGATGCATTATGCACGCTTTCATGACTGCTTTAAACAACTTAAGTGTTACTGATAGTGTACATGATAAATACAGAATGAAATGCTGATATGGTGTTACTCTTGTGGGATAGTAAGCTGAGGATATCTAATAAACTGTGTTCTGAACTTATTCCTTTCCATTAATCTATAAATGAAATAAAAGATTATTTTACTTCCAAAACAGGTGCCTGGAAAATGGAGAAGACTTTGAACAGAATTCATCCAGTTTCTGATCCAGAAGCAACATATTTTCTACAAGTATCATGGGAAAAAGATTTAGGCACTGGCTTTGTTATAATGCTAAGTGATGGTCAGTGTGCATGGACTGGGACAGGTAATAGTAATTTAAAACAGTAATTTGAACTTGTTTCTTTCCATGATTATTATTTTGAGCAGTGTCTTTTCACACTTTCTAAACTGTGATCCTCAACTTGCATCAAAATATTTTTGGAAATCATCCCCACTCAGTGATGGAGGAGGTATAATTCGAGATCATCTGGGACGTGTTCGGATATCTCTGGAATCTATGGAAAGCTTGCATGTCAAAAGTAACACTAATTCATTTAACATATGGTTATGCAACGTCTTGTTTTTTCTCGCTAATGTAATTTCCTGCAGTGTACTGCATCATCTTCATCTTCAGATCCTTGAACAGATGTGCCATGCAAGTATCATTTACGAGTTGTATGGTTCATGAAGCGTTTAATAGCAGATGACTTTTAAATGGCTTAAGAAGGTATTACTACTTAAATGTAGATGTATTCAATGTAATGTTCAACTTCTGCTTTTTTTTTTTTTTAAGAGGGATGTGTGTATGTATATATATATATTTTTTTTCCTTCCTGAGGATAAATTACTGGAAGAAGAAAAGAATAGCTTGTGGGCTTTTCTCTCCCCACACAGAAACCTGAATAAGAGGTTGGATCTCTTAGTGTATGCATGTTTCTCTTTCCTGTCTAGTGAGAGAGGAGACTTGTGTCCTTTGGAGATGCCTATCGGATACTTAATCAAAAGCACTTCTCTCAAGGGCAATAATATTTCAAAGGGAGGAAAAAACGTGTATATTACACAGCATATCACAGGCAAAAACATTTTCCTGACCCTTTTTCTGAATTGCAAGAACAGATATCTCTGTAGTTTCTTCCCTTCTTTTCCCCCTGGCCAGTGGAAGTTAAGATGTTTCTTCCCAGTCCTTCTATAAGCCACCTTTTCAAATAGGACTACTGTTTTTCTAATGCTTTGTACATTTTTCTTTTCTATTATAAGAAGCTTAATTCATTATTGTTGTTTTGAATACAATTTTTCTTTTTTCTTTTAAATGTAAGGAACTAGACTAATTTTAAAAGTATCTATGTATGATGTATGTTTCAAACTTCCTATTGAATAGGAATTCCTGCACGAGGTGTAAACATCACGCTCACTCCCTGCAATGAGATATGAAAATCCTACTGTCAAATCAAAGAAAAGCTTTAAGTGTTTATTTGCAACATAACAAAAAAGGTGTTAATGTTAAATGCTTAACTAATGAGACTTCCATTATTTTTGTCTAAAAGGTTTTGATACTGTTCTTATAGCCAGGAAAGGTGTAAATTTTAAAGTCACTAGCTTCAAATTGGCAAAAACCTGTTATTTTTTCATCTATTATTTTTCTAAGTAAAACATAATGTTACTATAACTGAAAGTACAGGAAAAATATGTACACACAGCTTTCATCTTGTTAACTTCCTGCATCTGACAATTGCTGGATGATCATTTCCTAAAACAGAGGACCAGTGAGAGCAAGATGACCTCACTCTGTTAAACTGTGAGGAGGCTTTTCTCTTTTTAGCATGAACACTGGGTACTCATCCAAAGGCTAGAGCTTTTATTCCTTTTGTAGGAATTTATTGGAAATGGATCAGCTTCTTATCGAATTTGTAATCCCTTCAAAAACTTCATTGGGAGTCAAAGTCCTTGTGCATGAGACTTTTCTGCTGTACAGGTCTATGTTTTCATATATTTATAATTGCTTTTGATCTTTTTTCCCTAATTTAGTTCATCTTATTTAAGACTACTTAGATCCCAACTTTGAAACCTGAAAGCATAGAAAGCAGTGGTCAGAATATTTTTGCTGTGGGAAATCCCTTTTAGGTTTCTCATGCTGTGGATGATTTTGCTGGGTAAGACCTACTGGGAAGTAATGAGAGTTGTTGGAGTTGTCTTTTATGGGTTTTGTATATTTAAAATGATGATGAAAAGTGTTGGGAGTCTTAGTATTTAAACAAAATTAAACAAAGAAAGGTTAAATCTTAGGGCGGGGAGGGAAAAAGCACAGGAGTATTCAGTATAATCTAATATACTAATTTGACGTTGGATTAAAGAACGACATTCATAAATGCATACATCTGTAGTTTCTTCAAAGATTGGTTCTCTTAGTTTTGTAAGTAACAGAAATACACAGCATGTGCAAATGTGACAGAAGAAAAAGAATCCCAGTGCTCTGTTACTACGTACAAACTCAGTCTCAAAAATAAAGTTAATCTAACTTCCTCAGGGCTCATTTTTTTGTTTCCTCAGTGCTCATTGCTTTTTAGTTCAACGCTTGTATGCTCTAACACTTCTAACTTATTTCTTCAGCACCCCCCACCCTGGCTTTGCCTCACAGTGCAAGGGATACCACACTTCTGTCGGCATGGTTTTGTTTGTGTTAAAATGAATGCTAATGCATTGGCAGCCTTTCCTCCCTCAACTCTATCTAGTGTCCTGTACAAGAAATAAGCCAGCTAATGAGGAGTGGGAAATGATTGGTGGTTGTAGCTTAAAGTAAAACAGAAGTATTCTGAGGGTAGATGTCCTGCCTGCCTTTCCCACTGTATTCTTGCCACTTGTAGTGGATTGTTAGCTTTTCAAGATGAGCACTGATCAGCACTGTAATCACAGTCCTTCACTTACTTGTATACTTAACTTTATTCTTGTGAGCAGGTCCACTTATTTCACTAGTGTTTTTTGCCTGTACCAAGTGAGCAGTTTCAAGAATGCACTTCAGCTTGCACATTGTGTTAGGAGTTACGGATTTGCCATTAGTATAAATAACAAAGAAGTTAGGAAAAAAACCCCTAAGGATCTATGAAAATAGAAAAAGAAAATAGAATTCCATGTGTAAAGTAAATGCAGCATTATTTGTATGAATATTAAAAATGCTTTTTTTTAAGGGAGGGGACAAAGATGCAGCTGGCAGTTGTTAAGATCTTGTTTCTCCTTAAAATAGTTTAAAAAATCTTGGAAAATGCCTTTATCTCTTTATTTAAAATATTTTAGAGTTGTGTCTGAGGCTGAACATGGTTGACTTGGTTTAGAATGAGATAGAGAAGACCTGCTAGCATAAACTTACAGCCCCCTGCTTAGACTGCAGCATGAGACTGACTTGTCTAAATCCGTAGTGTATGAAATTGATGCCTGTCAGTCTTAATGCATGAGTATTGATGCACAACTGATCCTGATTTTGCAGCTATCCGGTAGGTCTTTTTGTTTGCAGGCTGCATCTTGATGTCTGGGCTGACAGTCAGCTCTCCTGCATGAGGTGTGCTGTGGTTGACCAGTTGCGTCACCAGATGAAGGAGTTACGGGAGGAAGTTAGTAGGCTGCGTAGCATCCGAGAGGATGAGCGGGAGATTGACAGGGCATTCTCGGAGACTGTTCAGCTCCAGGAGTCCCCAGCCCCCACTGCAGTGGAGTTGTCAGAGGGCTCAGCACCGTGTGTAAAGATGCATCATAACACCGTTGAAGAGGGCTGGAAGCTGGTGACCTCTCGTAGAAGGAGAAAGACTCTTGCTCCTCCTCAAGAGTTGCCTGTGAAGAACAAGTTTAGCGCCCTCCAAGCTGAGGAGGAGCTGGGCACGGCTCCAAGGGAGGCAACTGGCCGGGCAGACCCTGTGCCGTGCAGGAACCCCCGGAAGAAGCGGCGAGTGATTGTTGTGGGTGACTCCCT